GTAGAGGAGTTAAACATTTCATATCAGATGATTAACGTGAAACTGTGTGAGATGCGTGCGCGTGTAATAAAAATATGGTAGAAACAGTAAACACACCGATATAATGTAAAGTATATGAAGAATCGATAATTGGTAATACCGAATTTTGAATAATGTTTCGCGAAGCATGAATGCTCGTCTCGATGTTTGCTTAATTGTCGTGTAACATAACACGCGGCCATACGCAGTGAATTATACGAAACGTACGAGCGGTCCATGACTTTATGATTATGTAAACGAAAATGAATATTGAATTATAATTTAGTAGCGCGAATACCCTCACCGAGCGTTTCATTTAAATTGCAAAGTGCAGTTGTTTGACACGTTGGATTAGCGGGCCGAAATTTCAGTCGTCAATCTTCCAACTTCCGACGTTGCATCGTTGTATCCGATTTTCCAACATTTCTTCCTTCCCGAGAATCTTCATTATCCGAGCAATTATTCAGTCGTCTAATAACTTCGCGATTATTGATGTCACGCGTTTCATATTCAATCTTTCACTCTCTTATCACATTGCGTATTAATCGAAGAAACAATTAATTCTGAGCAATCATCAAGATCCGTTGTTCGCTGCTCCGGTTTTCCTTGCGGATTAAAAGTGATTTTACTTCGAAGGCGGCTGCATTCTCACGTGCCGTATAATTTACAATCCTTATGTCAACATCCGCGTCAGTAAATGAGCGCACGTTAAACGGAGCTCCACGACTCATACGCAGTGATGTAATAGAATTTTGAAAATAAATTCTTGCAATCTTTTAATCGCATCGAGAGGAAGAGCAATAATATATCAAATATCAGAGCACATTTAAAACATTTTATGCATTGATAATTATACAATTATCTGAAAAATATGATATTATCGAGTTTTATACATATCATGAATAAATATATTATTATGCATTAAATGGATAATTTATTGGCATCAGATATGGATGCTTTAATATGCGTTTATTTTTAATTTATAAAGTTACATTTGAAATGTATAAAAGTTGAGAGATTTGTCTATGCATAGATACCAGGAGAGAATAGACGAGGAGGAAAGAAATCAGTAGATGAACATCCGTTGCATTTATATAGTGACTATACCTCACGATACACTCTACTTCAATCTCGCAGGATCAAAGGAATTTTTTCGAAATGAACGTATCTGATGGAAGGACACGTTCTCTAGCGCAAGTTGTGCAAATTGCGCGGCGAATGTCGGAAGAATATTTACGGCAGATTCACGCTCGTACATCTTATCGATGTGGAAGCGTGAGATTCCTCAGAACGAAAAAAAATAGAACGAAAAAAGGCGACTGACGCGGTTCGCATTACTGAGATATCACGGATAAATGGAGAGTTTTGAACAAGTAGAGCAATCAAACGTGAGAAGAATTTTCCTTGGACTACTTGACGATCGATATCTGTGTTATTCACACATATTGATATTGACACTATCATAATAACTGCTACTACAACAAAATAATTAATATTTTTATTGTAGATAATTATCAAGTTTTATCAAGCTGCTTTTTAAACGCGTATCGCATGTCTATTAAAGATTCATAAACTCGCGCAACTGTATTTCTATAGTAACTATAAAAATTAAATTGACTCATGACACGATTCAAATTGCATTAAAAAATTGTATGAAAATAAATCAAGTGGTAATATTTACTCCACTGAAATTTGCAACTTGATTATATTTCATTCATTCGTTGATAAGTGATGATAAGTTGCATAAGTCAATAAATATCCAACCGCGATTACTTTATTTGATTACTTTATTAGTCTTGCAATGGCTCGCGGCTTCTGGAAATGTTTACGCTGGCATATGCAGGATGGCTTTACCCTAAGCGTAAATGTGTACGCAAATGGCTTACAACGCACAGCCTATGTTTGCCAGTATTTAGCTGCATTTAGCTTAGTCGTACACAGTTTCCTAACGATGCGCGTGAACGATGCTCGCTATAAAGCTGGGTCACGTCAGTTTAACTCCAACATATACATAACAAAATTTTATCGATAGCATTTTTTCTCTTCCCGTTAAAAAAATATATATCCCCTGTCGAAAATGGAACCATCAGTTCAATATCTCGCTCACCGTGAAATATGAATAATGCAAAAGTTTGAGAGACAATCTAACGACAGTCTCAAAGATTAGAAGATAATTAGAAGAGTTTACGATGTCATTTCGTTTCACAACCTTGCTATTATCGTCTAAGCTTAATGGAATTTTGTCAGGTTTCTTCGAGACCGTATAATGTTCTTTAAATAATTCTTTAAATGCAAGTTTTTGTCATGTAGCGCTGACAGTTGTTAAATCATCTTTATTTTTCAATTGTTAAAAATTTATATGTTGCATTATTTTATGCAACCAATTCCTATGCTTTCTATGCGTATTTCCTCTTTAAACGAGCTTGTCAAATGTTATTGAAAAATACATGACTGCGCAATAAATTGCGAAATTCTTATCAATAAATCTGAATTGATAATAAAATAGATCAACCGATTATGTACATACTCTTGCAATGTTAAAAAATAGAAAAGTTGCAGAAAGAAAAATATTACATAAATGTCGATGTACTATATTACGATAATGAGTAGATTACACAGAGCATCATGTGCTTCAGATACATATTATTTGTAAATATTTGAAAAAATAAATTCTACAAACATCGATAATCTCTATCTAGACAAGCTCGTATCCTGTTTGAACTCAAGATAAATAACGGAATCATTTTCTTATCAGCGATTTCTCGATTATTAACATCCAAGAAAATTGATATGACGAGATATACGAGATTATATGCTTAGTGCGATTTACAATTGAATTTTTTATCATATAAGAAGCAAAAAAATTGTTTATAGTTATTTTAAATCAGCATTTAAAATTTGTCAATTTAGAAAAAAAAAGTAGATTGTTTTGTCGCGGAAAAAGGATATATTATCATAAGCTGAATATAAAATAATTATATATTTCTTGGGAATAGAAAGCAATATTTCGCCGATCATCGATAACCGATAAAACTTCTTCGCGTCGATTAAATTCCTAGCAAGGTCGGGCATAGCATTTCCTACGATCGACCGATGGCTTGTCGACATTTGCGATTCTAGCTACGCTTCGTCGCAGTTGCAGTCATTAGTATATAGGCTGCTCGGGTCATAAGGCGAATTTGAGCTATCGGAAGAGCGATGATCGAGCAAATCCAAGTACAATTGCTGGAAATCTCTTTCAAGACGAAAACGCGACAGGCTTTCAGAAATCTTGGTATTGCGTCAAATTTTAGTATAAAAAAATAATTGATAAAATTAAAATAATTACTTTTGCATTCCCATTAATAAACTTTCTTTTACACAAATATATGTATGTCACCATTTATGTGGGGATTCTTTAAAATTTTTTTAGCAAAAGACATTCAAGATATGCACGGTAATATAGTTCATCAAATGAGACTTCATAATTTATATGCCATTTACATATCAAATCTATTCATTAAAATTCTTCTAATTGTATTAAAATAAATATTAAACTAAATGTACGACTATGGTTGGTCAAGTCCAATGTTTATACTGATATATCAATCAGTGTAGAAAACTATCAAATATATTGGAATGTTTAATTTGCTTAATTATGTTTCTAAATATCTTCAAAATTTTATAGAGAACGGAAATAAAAAAAACAGAAAAGCCATCCTTCGATTTGATTGAAAAATCCAATTGTGTACGATAATCAAAGTCTCACGCGGCGTGCGTAGGATATAAATCTATAGCATAATCTCTTGTTATGAAGTGAAGAAACCTTGAGGAAGCATCGCACGCGAAGAGAAGGCAACTGATTGCGGGAAACTCGACGAATCTTATCCGATGCTCTTGTCAGCGACATTCGTTAGCGAGGATGCAACTTGAATTTGATTGCCGCTAAAGCCGCCACTTGTTATGCCACGCATAGAACCATCGTCGTGCGTGTCCGCGACGATTCATCGTCGTTGGGCCTCGACCTTAAAATGCGGCCACCTCGCGATCGCGACCGGACGACTGTTACCTCGAGACTTTCAAGGGACCTTCAAGTAATCTTACCGCTGTCGTTGTACTTTCCAATAATGACACACGAGTAGAAATAATGAATGCTCGGGATGAAAAATACCATTTAATTTGATCACGGATTTACGTAAGAAAGTTTGATCGAGAAATATTAAACTAGGTTTTCTATGGTCTTTATTTGTCAAATAAAATTTAATTCATGATTTCAAGATTAAGTCTATTCAAAATTAGACATTGTTTTATCAGTAAATTTGTTCATTCTGTTATTAAACAACGAAAATTTTCTTTCTTTCTATTTTTCAATATTTCACGGAACGCGAAATAAAGGAGAGAGAAAACTCTCCAGTTTCACCATTTTATATATCGCAAAAATTAAATATAACTGTTTCATCTTTATGTTTCATCTTTCAAAAAATATCATTTTACAGATAATCGATTATATTATATTTCTGATCGAAATTTTCGTCTTTCACCTTTCGCTTCTAAGATAAAGGTTGCTGATCTTCTGATTAACCCATAGTTAAGATAACTTTCCTCAAAATTAATTAAATAAATCTTTAAAGATCTATGTGCTTAATAAAAAATTAATTGATTTCTTTCATATTTCTTTCATTAATTAATAAAAATTATAAAAAATAATTTCACGCAAATATATAAAATGTAATAAATTTTCAATTAAAATGTTAAGCTTTATTTGGTAGAGTTAAATAATCATAGATTAAATTAAAATTTAATGATCACAAATGAGTAACTTATAAATTCATTATTCCTTTCCATAATGTTTCCACTTTTACATCAATTTTTAAATTAAACTGATTCAAAAATCATCATTTCGCTATTTTTAAAATCTTCATTGCTATTAAAAATAGTCGGATTTTTAAAGAGAGAATTTTCCAAAATGTAAAATGTTTCTTTGAAAATCCAACGTGACTCACCGTAGATTGGCGACCACCACGCTGTACTGCCCTTCGATCTTGACAAGTCCGACATTTTGCAGTATCAACCCGGTGATTAGCATACCGATTAAGGCCGGAAGAGTGGTCAAAGATATCAGCCAGCCTCCGAAATGCGCGGCGATGCACAGGGCGGCCAATCCAAACAGCTGACCACCCGGGGCCGCGTCATTGCCGATTACCGAGTAGACGACACCCCAAAGAAGTAAACCCAAGAGGAAGAGGCATAGCACTCGTGCGAATTTTCTGTACGTTGGACAGAACGGCTGCGGGCATGCTTTTTTCCAGCCCGGTGGCTCCCACGATGGTGTGTCGTCGCGACCGTGACATCGCGCGCAAAATAGATACAGCCACGACCTAGAAGAGACGTAAATGAAATAAATGATGCGGACATTGTGTACGAAATAGAGGCCAATAGAGTACTTCTTCCTTTTTCTAACACACTCCTTATTCCGGTAATAATAGTATATGTGATGTATTGTATGAGATGATGAAAGTGGTGTAATTGTGTCATGAAAAATAAATTTTCCATTTAAAACATATTATTGTAAACAATGACATGACACAAACCTCGAATAGATTTTTAATTAATATAAAAATTATTCCTCGGTATATCAAGATTGTCTGATGATAAAACAAATCCTTTAGAATGATATCCTAGATATCGTGAGCGAATCTTAAAGTCGAGAAAATGTTTATCTCTTTATGATAAGAATAAAGATTGCTTTATACATCGCTTAAAAGAAATTTGCTCGGATTAACGTCTTTACGAGTATCAATTAGTTTACTAATCAATATCTAGTTTATTCGCGGAAACAATTTGTAACTGGATAAACTAGCTGAGATTTCAAAGTATAATACTGACAGTTATTAATGTACACTATCTATATACTTTTAACAGTTAATTTTATTTGCAGGTTTACACGGGAGCCCATTACGTCATATTATCCGCGTACCACAATAATTTTGAATTAACAAGTCCAACATTTTATTATAAAATTGAAGATGCGCGTATATTATAATTATTATATATATAATACATTAGTTCTATATTACACACTCATTCAATTATCAAGAATTAACAATTTATAAATTCTCTAATCAATAATTTATCAACCACATATTTCGTTTATTGTTTTTTTTTCTCTTTTTGTTTTTTTGTTATTAAATAACTCTGTATTTAACTTTTCAATCAAATTTTTCATTAATAGGAAAATTAGTAAAAATTGCAGGATTAATGAACAGAAGATGCTATACACATTGTAAATTGTTACAAAATATGTTATAATTTAACACTGATTGTAATTTAAATACTGATGTTATATACATATATATAGAATATTTTTTATCTTTACATGGTCTAATTAAATTTTCAGAAAAAATTTCTTAAAAACATGACATTATGCAGAGTTTGTGATTATTTTTGACAAATTTCATAAAAATTATATCATATAACGTATTATTGCAAGTATTTTATAAATTTGTTAAAAATGAACATATGAGTTTACAGTCTGATGCTATGCAAACTCTAATCAGGTCCTTAGCAAAGACGTATGAAACATTTTATATTCTTATGCGTAGATAATCATTATCAAGAAAATGAATATACATATGCTACAAACAATAGGTACAAAGTTGAATAATTTATAATGTTAAATGTCGTGTATTTTAATAACATAAACAATTGTGAGACGATCTTGTTTCGACGTGTGGACATAAGAAATCATCTAATAAATTACACAAATATTTTCTTTGAGCTAATAAATGTAGCAATAAACACAGTGAAAATACTCAAGTAAGAATTAAAAAAATATTATTTTTAACATATGTATTAATGATATAAATATATTTAAAATTATAAGAGATTAAAAAAAATTACAGAGATATTCTAATATATTTTTGTAAATTGTTATTAATATTTACACATATACTATCAATACATTACCAAAAAAAAATAGTAAGAAATAGTTCGAAAAAACATAAGAAATAAAAAATTTTGATTGGAAGTTATTTGCTTTCTTGAAGACATCTCTGATACATAAATAACAAAATATTGATCAAAATATAATTGTCATTTACACTGCAAAATTATATAGAATTTGTGATAAAATGACCAAAGAATACATAGCAGTTATTGCCCATTATCACCTATCCACAAATTGGTTTATTTATTCATTCATCACACGTGATTCATTATCACGTTGCTCGTGCTAGTATATCTCGAGTGCAGAATTTTTTTAACGGTTGTATTATTCCTATACGTATGTGTTTGTTTTGTAGAACGCAACAATTGCATATCATATCATCTTATTGGTCAATAAAAGTTAAAGAGAGATAAACCGATTTATATAAGACTTATATCTAGAAGAATATCGAAAGTAAATTCGAAAGTATCGGCAGACAAAGTTTGTGGGAGCTTATCGAGATAATCGAGTCTCACCTCTTGAGCTCCTCGGAATACTCGATCTTGTCTCTGATCGAGCTGGACAGACTATACGCCGATTTCTTTCTATTACCGTTGATCCTGCCGTTCTCCAGATCGAACTTGTATTGCGGAATATTCTCCGGGATATTCTCGTCACAGTGGCTGCTGCCGTGATGCAGGATCGATTTCCGTCTACCCTGATCGGAATTGTGCTCCGAACTCGCGCTGATGCGCCGATGATGCTCGAAGGCGGGATTATCAATTCCCAAAACTTGATCGCTAATCGACACCCGTCTCTTCGCCAATTCCTCAGTGGGTTTATTCGTTCTGGCACTCATATCGATTTCCATTTCTCTAACCGATCTTTTCTCCTTAAGAATCTCTCGAATGCCGATCGATTCGCGATCGAGCAGATTTCAAAAAGGTAACAAAGTCCAAAGTTCCTCGGAGTCTTCTCGCGGGGATTTTTCTCAAACGACAAGGCTCGATCGATCGTTCAGGCGACGACGAGGATAAGTGGCACGATTTGTACTCGAACACGATCAAAACCGATTCATCGACCGCGACACACCTGTCGATTCGGTCGATAGCAATCGGTGCCCGATTGATCGCGAGGAAAAGCGAAGCCGTACGCGATCGCTGGACGTATACTGCGACGGATCACGCGTTCGCCATGTTAACGGCGATCGTTAGCGGATGAGTCTCGTGACGGGAGCTGACCGTCTCGACGGGGAGAACGATGATGCGTTGGACGGCGATGCTAATGCGTTGCGACGATTGACGTCTTTGACACCTTGGCCCGCTTTTACCAGATCATCTCTTCTTCCGATGCATGATTTCCAGATTGGTTCTATACGTTCTACGTTCTACGTAGAAAATGCGGAGCTTTGTCCATCTCGTTAGCGCTTGCCACTCAGGGTCGGCATCGACGCACTTATCCAGCACGGGAACAAACTTTTCCACTGACGTTTCTTTTTTTTTTTTTTTTCACGTATTCGCAAACCGACGAGGAACCGACGACGACGACGACGACGACGTGCTCATAATTATTCGCCTCGAACTCGCGCAAACAGGTCGTGATCGCGAACAGGTCGGCGCATCTCGCAATTCGCTTGGGCGTAATTTAGGCTTTCGCATAAACGGAGTCCCCTTCGCGCGAGGACGGTGAGAAGAGTGTACTGCCGGTCGGACCCCGCGATAGCGCGAGCGCGGTTAACGAGCGACTAAAAGCGACAAAGTGCGCGGCAAGCGGTGGTGTTTTGTGAGAATAGGTAGTGGGGCTCTGCCGTAAAAAGTGCTCGAACTCGTGGACGAACGAGCACGGATAGTCACGGCGGCCCGTGACGATATAATTGTCGCGCGATGCACACAGGATGGGCACAGCTGGTCATCTCATTGATAAACTGGCAACGGTCCGTTGCGTTTCTGTCTCGCGACTATGGTCCCGATCCGGAAGAATCTCAGCCGCACCCTCCACTTTTTCCAGACCAAACTGCTAGGAAGTTTGAAGTTCTTGCAAGTTCTCCAACTACCGATCGTCTAATTAGCGCTCTAATTTGACAATATTTTTTTTAGTGCTCTTATTAATCTTAACAATCGATTACTTTGCAAATGTTTCCAAATTCTCGATATTAAAAATTAGATAAATAGCATCGGAGCACAGAGAGATTGCTCTCTTTAAATTACTGCAGATGTTGCTAATAATTTAATTCCATATCGCTGTATATCATTCGGTATAAGCATTTTACCGTCTAATACCAAGATATTACAGGATTGAAATGTAAATTTTCGATCCCGAGCTTATCCTTCGTCAAAATTCTTGACAACTGGGAGCAGTTCTCTCTGACAGTTTTAGTATAATAATTATTACAGTTGCGCTTTATCTTAGCAGCAATTTTACTCGTTTCGTTACGTTTAAAATCCGATGTATAAAAGCGTATAAAAGACACGTGAATGTTACTTTGATTTATCATGTGTCTCAACAATACTTTAATGATAAAATAAAGCAACGTACATATTACATCGATAACGCTGTTATCGGATTATTGTAGGTTTCGAGAATTTCACGGATATAATATTACATATATGTATAGCGTGAGATATTTCTCGAATCACACTTTCAGTCACACGTAATCTTTCTTCTTCACGAGCGCTTTGTGAAATTCAAAATTGAAATTAACATATCTTAGGACGATATCATGGTCTTCATTTTACGAGAATAATCACAGTCTCATAAATCTTCGATTATTCGTCAATCTATTGCATGTTTACAAGAATTTATATTTATCTTCGAATAATGTTTGATTCATGAAATATCGATTCATGTTATTTTATTATTTCAATCTCAGATTAAGTCAATCTGTTCAGATTGTTTATTTAAGATAAAGAAATAAATTGGAGACTAGAAGAAACTTGCGTATTTTCACATTTAATATCATAATTTATACTTAAATATGCTGTGATTGAGAATTTGAAATTGTATTTATTATAACATTAATTATGTCACAACATATGTGGCAATATAATATATCAATTTAATAGCAATTACTATTAATATTGATATGTTACTATTATATTAATTATGTTTAATGTATCAATATTATTAACATTAACAAATGACACGATGAGAATAAAATGTGTTTTTAATTTTTAAATTTAAACAATTGAAAATTAATTACCGATTATAAATACCGATTTTTTTGACAATCGAGATTTGCTCTCTTTCGTTTATCGATCGTTCTAATTTTTCGAGCGATATCTCTTAAATTTGATCTACTATACAGATAAGAACAAATGCGATACACTCTTTTAATTAGAGTCACTTATAATGCGATTCTACTGATCGCGAGATAATGCATTAACGCAATCAACAAGATTAGTATGCGTCCTCCTACATGGAGCTTCATCACTATATCGCTCTTTCTCGTATCTATATCATCTATTGATCGACTCTGCGCAGTTGTTAATATTATTATGATCACGCTTGTTTGCTTGTACAATTGTACGTTGTAATTATATTTAGAACTCCATCCATCGCAATTCGGTTTATATACTTCTCCAACTTTGGATCGATAAAATGAACTTCCGTACAGTGACATTGTTGCCCGAAACTTTAGCTTTGAAAATGTACAGATCAACACACAGAATATACGCGGGGTCTCATATTTTGTAAAATAAGTCGTAAAATTTGAAATTGAGTTTTATATTTTTTTATATCGATAATATCTTTGATTAAAAACAAAAAAGGACAAGAAAGTGAAGGGGAATTAAATGATTAACATGTCGGAGTATTTAGTAATTTGTTCCAAGAAATCTGCTATTATTCCGCTTCATTTTTATTCATTAGCGCTCTGCAAAATTATTAAAGTTTAGTTTTACATTAAAGGCCGGCAAATTGAATTAGCGAAAGTCGAGTGAATAGAACTGAGCTCTTAAAGCACAGGAAATTGTGTGTATAAGTGTATGTAAATGTACGCGTGTGTGTGTGTGTGTGCAAATTTCTATTTTAATTTATTTCTCCTCTAGTGGACGAGAAAATACAGAAGGAAGGAGGAGTCTACCTAGTCGGAGAAGGAAATGAAATATGTTGGGGAGGTGGTTGGCGATTGGAATAAGCGTGCAGAAAACAGGAAGAATTTATAGCAGCTTCTTGTACTTGTATTTATCGACAAAGTTCCATCGTTAACAAGATATCGCAAGTTTAATGAAGGCAAAGGAATAAATAGACAGGGAATCATAAAATCATTCAGATGCGAAAATTTTAAATCCACACACCAAAAGTCAAGACATTTTTCAAAATCACGAATCTCTATGGCAATCTAAAATATAATAAAAGCTTTAATGAGAGCTTTGATATCTTTTATTTAAAAAATATTCATTTTTAATATATTGCTATTTAATCTGTAAAATATCCAATGTATCTTATATTATATTTTTATATCATTATATATGTAATATACACTGATATAAAATGTATAATGATATACCTAGGTATTATATTATTACGATACAGAATTCATATCATTATATATGTAATATATCCAATGTATCTTATATTTTTATATCATTTTTTATACGTATGTGTAAAATGAGAGATGATACACAAAATATTCACGTATAATGTGCTCATCATCATTATATAACATTCCTTTGAAACGTCTTTTTACAGATAGACAAAACAAATAATTTCACCTTCCACCGAGATCCGTCGACACATCATGAATAAAATTTCTACTAATGATGAAATCGTACGCTTCTCGGGCACGCTTGCGGAAGTCGAGCATTGTCGTCCCTCGTTAACGCAGTATTCTTATACGGCTCCATGCGTCCGTGTGTAGATAATGCTCGTCCCGTAATCTGCAATACTATTTAACCGACAATATGTATATATTTCTGCTCTTTTATGATTTGCGAGGAAAATTCTTACATGCAAAACTGCATTATTTGTTACATTAACTTCATTCAAAAATACAGTCATACATAAAGAATTATCTTCGTTCAGGAATACAATCACACATACAAGAATATAATTATAAATGCAGGAAAAATCTTTAAATTAAAAAACGTTTGGTTTTAAAATGGCAACTGTGTAAATTTCTAAAAAAAAATATAAGACATACGAAATATTATATCGATCCATAAAAATTAATATCGAACTTCCATAAGTAACAAGCTTACGATATGCTCGCCAAGAATGTATCATCAATTTGTTTCCTTAATAGGTAGTTTTAGAAAAAATATATCTAAAAAATATATATACGCCGAATATAAAATATTGAAACCAAAAATCAATAGCGCACGCGTATACACGCTTTTCTTGGATTAATTAACTCCTTTCCGTAGCATTGTTACTGACATTTAAACCAATTGTGAGTTTTCCTCGTGTTCGATACATTTAATCGACATTGTAATTAATTAAGGGCGAAAGATACTCAATACTTTAATTATCCCGAGCAAATTGCGAACAATTTCGAGAACGCGGGAATGAAAAGAGACCCCGTTTCTCGTGCAACTGGTTTAATTGTCCGCCGCGGGAAAATTTGCGAAAAATTCGCGAACGTGTTTTGTTTCTCGGACAGTAATGTATCGCAATCTAGCGAACATGTCGCCTTGCTCCTGCATCCGTCCATCGTTGAACATTCCGCGGCCGGCGAAGTCACGCGAGAAACGTTTACGTCCCTCGCAAGAGCGTGTAGGAGGAACGAGGGATGGAGACGAGGTCGAAGATGGGATTGGAATTGCAAATATCCCTCTTCTCTATCTCTCCGGTCTCCTCTAGTCCGTGCGATCTATCTCTTCGTTCTTCCATCGACCTACCCACTTCGCCCTGACTCTAGATTGTGGTACGAGGTGCATATCGCGAAGCGTGTTCTATGAAATCCCCGGCTGGACGACAAATCGTCAGATTTTGTCCCCGTCAAAACCGGATTTGAATTTAACAGCCCCTAGCCGCGCCAGCAACGCGCGTTATTCTTTTCTATCATCGTCCCATCATCATCATTATCTCGAGAATGCAGCTCTCTCGCGTCAATGCGATATGCATTAACATATACAACTCTTGTGTCTCTCGAGAATGCAGCTCTCGTAATTTTAGTAATTTTTTTTTTTTCAAGACCGCGTTTGTTTTGTACCTTCATTTTCAATTCCAACTTACTTATAAATCTCTGCCCTTTTTAGATACAGAATGCAAATTTGTTTATTTGCATTACACGTACATAAATCTCACTTCTTGCCCGTCAGCACCTCGTCCCGTGGAACAGGAGGAAAGAATGGGGGATGGAGGAATAATTGACAAATTAACGATGAACCAAATGTGAGGAAGCAAAGAGAAGACGAGATGCTCGCAGAAAATGACCGCGTGATACGCGGGCTGTGTCAAATTAGCTTAAAAGCCCCGGAGCAACACGGGATCCTACAACGCATTCTGCAACACGGTCCAACATACTATGTCCAACGTGCGGAGAAAAGCCCTATTCGCCCTCATATATCACCCGGAGATAAAAGGCTGCCAGACAACGACGGAAAGTATAGTGGTTTCGGCGACACGTCGGATAGGCGGTTCATTGCGCAGCTGCACCCTGTGCCCTGTAATAATTCGGCGGTAGAAACGAAGAGAAATTGTACGTCACGCGCCGGTATCTATTTACCTCTTCCGCTAAATGAAAATATGTACTTCGGAATGCTTCCGTTTCGATTTACGGTCTCACACAGAGAAGGAGCAAAACTTTTCCCGCGATATTCTACCATAGAGAAAAATATCGAACAGATCCATATCTAGAGGAAAATATCAAGTCGAAGTTGTACACGTTCTTTTTTTTTTTTATATGTACAAGATGTACTCGAGATCATTTATCTTCGACAACAAATAAAATGTATTTTTATTATAATTTGTTATTTCTTCAACATGAAGAATCGGGGCGAATCTCTCTCCCTTTAGCTTTATTATACAGAGCAAGACACGAGCTCGTGTACAATGGACGCGCGGTCTTTTTTCCAATACATCAAAATATATCCTTATACGAGCATCCCTCGTTCTACTTTTTTTCCCTTGCAGGAATTTTCATCGGGAACCGCCGCGCTGATTATTATTCGTCCCATTTTCGATCTTTGTGCGGCTTTTTACGTTTCCGGCAATGTCGATATCACGGTCAAATGTCGTAATTTTTTGCAGTGATCCGAATATAATATCGGCAATCTGTAAGAGCCAACGAAAAAGCTCCTCCTTCGTTCCTTTCTCGAATAGAATCGTACATCAATATAGTTTCGTTTTCTTGCTTATGGTGGTTCTCTCTTCGAGTAGCTCTACCTACCGCTGGTGACATTAAAGATTTCTTGCGATAGCGTACTTCGGATACGATAAATCCTCAAGTCACGTTAAAGCGAATTGCGGATGCGAGTCCGAGATGGGAATTGCCGTGACTGAGATGGAAATTACAATGGCCGCGCAGGTAGTTTGCATCGAATGTAAAATTTTTCGCGCTTATTGTACCCGAAGCGAAATGTTTCAAAGTTTCCTCCTCTTTTATTATTGCTATATGCATCCTTTGATGCAACAACATGAGAGTTATCGTTTTCCTTCATCTTGTTTTTCAATAGGCTTTTGCATGTATATACTTGGCATAAATTTCTCTTTTGATTTCTCGTCTCATCTTTATATAGATTACATCTTTATATTACGTAAATGACGCAAATCAAATAATATAACGTCTATATTTATTTTCACGCGTTAGCTTCATGTCTGAAAAAGCGTCGGCATTAAATTTATCTACAAAATTCACTGTTAACCGCGTATATTAAATATGCAGCAAGAATGTGATATCAAAATCATCATCTTTTACATTATTCA